CTGTGCTTAATAAGTCATAGCAATATCACCATAAACTGCTCATCTCTATTAGTGGAAGTATGTATTGGCCAATAAATTCTGATAAAATTAAATCTTTATTCTGACAGACATGGATCAAAAAAGTCCAAACTACTCTAAGACTTTACATAAATTGTTTGGTGGATCTATAAAAACAGCTGATCTTCATAAGGAAGTTTTACCGTCTTAGGATCGGTGTTTTTTCAGTTTTCTCAATATAAGCATGCAAGTACTTTTGAGTGGAAATGTTTTAACCACTCCTGGGAGTGTACAAGGCTAAGATTGCTTTTCCTATCTGTACTTATCTAGAAAATCTAAAACATCCATTTTTTTTCAAACTAAAAATCTAGGGCGTAAAGGTCAGTTACTTTGATCAAATACGTCATTTTTTTTCAAAAGTCTTGATATAATTTATTAACTTATTTATATTTTGACCATTTTAACAATAATAATGTAATTTTGTGATTAAAAATTGATTTAAACTCAAAATCTAATTTTTGATCAATAGCAGGTGACATGTTTCAAAAATAATCAATTTTTTTCCAATGAAAAGAAAAGAGCCAAAACTCTCTGAACTTTTTCTAAAACCAAGCCTTAGCTTTGGGGTGATCTTGAGGTGATCTTCAGCAAAACATTTACTAGCTTCTATCATTATTCCGCTGGTATGATTTTGACCACCAAGTGTGAACCTGTATATTATGAAAAGGAACACTAAGTGTCATCTCATACATATTTCACTAATGAATTGCTCAATTTGCATATTCATACATACAATACTACCTATTCCAAACATTCATGGTGGCCAAGTTTTGATAACAGATGGTATATCATGTTTTCATTAGAAATTTTATGTGAATCATTCTTTCTGAAAAAAAGAAAAAAAAGTAGAGTGAAACCAGTAAATAAGTAAATGGAGTAAATCAGCTTCTATTACACTTATTGATAAAACAAATGGAGAAAACAGAGATTGCAATATTTAGTATTTTCATGACTTTTCTTGTCTTTTTTTTTTCTCATTTCAAAATCCCCTCATATTCAATGAGCTACCAGATAATAATATCCTATATAAAAGTTAATTTGTAATCTTGATGCAATCAGCTTTGCAGAAAAAAAAAAAACTGTAGAATTTGACTGCTAACAATCATCTCCTGTTCTATTTGATATGTCTATCTAAATACATGAAACCTACTTTAGAGTATCTAAAAATAGAGAGGAGTAGAGGTGTCGATGCATTGTATTGAAATAGTGATGTAATAAATTAAAGTTCATTCTAAGTATATTTCACATGCTGTGAATGAAACTGATCTCTATGCATATTCCAGAGAATATCTCATGTTACGACATTAAAAAAAGAAAAAATGAAAAGGAGTGGGGGGATTGGTTTGCCAGAGAGCCCAACTATTTCTGGTGAACTCAAGAGAACTTTGTCCCTGCATTGATATCTTATAGCACAATGCAATGAAAGAAATTTCAGGAGATGATCCCAAAGCATGCAGTTGAGGAGTAAATTTTCCTCAACTTCACTGGATTTTAGGCATTATAGTATGAGTAGAGTATAACCACAATTGGACTGCAAGGGAAAAAGGTCATTCTGAGGCTTTAGACACCTCTGTGTATTTCCACGTAGATGCCTATGGGTGTTGTCCATGTCCGAGCTCCATCTGTGGCTAGGACAGATTTGCTGGACAGTCTTGGGGTGGTGAAGAGCAGTGTGATCCCCTCTTTGCCTAACACTTCTAAAGGGAAGCTTGTTTTTCAGACAAACATTCATCTAATTTTAAGCATAGGATGAGCAGACACCTGCATCAAGAATTTAGGAAGGTGTTGCCTAAGCTTGAAGTAGATTGCCAAAGGTGGTGAGGTGCTAGAAAAAGTGAGGTGGTGAGGTACTAGAAAAGGTGGCTAATAGTAAATCTTAAAGTGACTTCCTAGTCTTTTGAATATTGGACCTTAAAGTCTGATCTGGCTATGCAACTTAAGCCTCTTCTTTTGAGGAATGCAGGGGAAAAAGGCAATAAAAGGTGTGGACTGGGGAATATATCGCTTATAGACCAAAATGTGTGGAGCTCTTTTGATTAAATAAGTGTTGTTTATTTATTGATGCTTTTATTTAGCTTTTCAGACTCTACAAACTTTTGCTAGTGTTACAGTAGATTTCAACATGAAGGCAATGGAAGTAGGATCATTTTCTTACCTCTTCTCTGAGTAGCCAATGGAATTGTTAGAAACACCCGCTGTTTCCTCAGAGATGCAGAGTTGAAAAAAAAAAAGCAAAAAACACCAGAAAGTTAACTTGCTGATAAAGCTTTGGGAACTGCAGTACAAAGTTCAATTATATATTTTTCCTTTTGAATCTGAGAGCTCTTCTCCTTCTCAAGGAGGAGTTTTATTCTTTAAATTCTAAGTGCTGTCTTATTTGTGGGGTTTTTTTCCTCTCTCCATTTCATTTTCAAAGTGAAGAACTTTACATTTTCTTTTACTTTTTCTTCATCCTCCCAGAGTAATTATACCCTTCAAAAGCTGTTTATTCCTTACCAAAAAAAAAAAAAAGTTCTTATTGCTAGGACAGACAGGTTCCGATTGAGTCTCAGCTTGAATTTACCACTAATTTCCTGTCTCACCACAAGAAAATCACCAAGGACTCCATTTGGTTTCCTGAACATAAGTGTCTAGTGACATTTGGGAAGTCGTGGGATAGCCCATTTGGTTTTGCTGCTTGTTTAGGAGATTGTAACTCTCCTGCATATCCTGTGTAGTGTCTCCACTCCTGTGCCTTAGATAGTCTAAGTTCAAAATATCATTAAACATCCCTCCTTAGCAAACTGATTGAGACCTCCTAACTCTTTTTATTTGGGTCAGCATCTGCAGAGCCACCTTCTGCTCAAACCCTTAGGCTTAAACCGTATTTTCCCTGTTAAGAGGTGGAGATTAATCTTCTGTGGGAGATTAATCCTACAGAAAAGCAATGATTTAAAAATCACAAAAGCAAAGAACCAATTCTGTGAGCCAAAATTCCATATCAAGTCTTTGAGGAGATATATACAGCTGTCATTTTCCTACTATTATCACTAATAAACCTGAAGAATATTATGTACATATATAAAATTATGTATACATATAAAATTGCTTTTTAAAAATATATTTTTATTATGACTTGATATCAAATAACATTTTCACTTTTTTTTGCAGTTCTCTAAGATTAATAACGTACATGCATGACCAAGGCATTTATGATGCAATATTTTATTTGTTCTGAATTAAAATAATTATCCAGCTCACGACACTGGCCAAAATAGATTATTTCCACTTACATATTTTTAAGTTTTGTTTGTAGTTCCACTAATTATCTGACAGCATAGGCATCTTTCCAGTCACCAAAACTTGATTAAAATATAGAAGGACTTTTATGGAAAGAAAATAACCTCTTTTAATTCCAAGATCAAAAGTGAAACAAAAACAACAGAGTTGCAGCCAGGCAATTTAAATAAGAAAAAAAATATACTTTGAAATTGATTTAATTGGACCTTCTTTGAGCATGAGTTTGGACTATACGATCTCCAGAGGTCACTACCTAAATTATTATATATTATATGATTTTTTTTTTTTTTTTTTTTTTTTTGGTTAGGCTTATTATCTACAATAATAAACTCCCGAGACAAGAGCTGAAGCATCAGTTTCCTGATGCTTTCACCTCAAGATGGTATTCTTCTCTGGAAAAAATTATTTAAGTAAACAGGAAAACGAACTCATTTTTGAAGTGGAGATGTGTGGGTTTTTTTTTTTTTTCTTTCTTTTTTTTTTTTTTAATATATAATATGCACAGAGTCAGACTAGAAAATCCCAGACTTGTCTGGCCTAAAATATATGAATCCTTAAAGTTTTCTGGGAAGTCTAATGTTAGTATCTTAGGTTGTTTGGTTACACTCATGACATCTGTTAGTTCTTTCCTACATGTGATGTCATGACTTGTAGCTATATTTTGAGCTTCAGTTGGGAACACATGTCCACCTACACGGAGTTTTCAGTTTGAAATATAGCTGGCACCAAACCATAAGTAGATGGTTAGAGAACATGCAGTAGGATTTTTTTTCCTTTTTTTTTTTTAATGGTATTCAGGGTAAGATTCAGCTCCCCACTCCCAGATACGGAAATGGAGAGGTCTATACATGTCACTTAATGTTCAAGCTTTCATTATAAACCAACTTTGAATAGTCAATGCAGTCAGTGAAACCCAAAGAGCTAGCTACTCAACCGTCCCAAAGTAGGAATGTGATTCTCTGATGTAACCAGAGGCATCAATTGTTGTTTGTGATGACCTAAGACATCCACACCAACTGCAGTGCTGGCAGACACGACATAGGATCAACACAAGACTGTCTTCATAAAGAGATATGGGGGGAGGGCAGCCAATATGCTCCACAGTGTATCAGATGGCACAAATTATTAAATTAGTCTAATAAATCAATATTCTTATCATCTATGGAAATCTACACCAGAGACACTTAAATCGAGAGGATCCAAAGACCACCATCTGGAGATGAATGGACCATACTTGTTATATTTTAGAAACCTGTTTAAAAAATGCTTCTCTGAGATCTACATCCTTCTAAAATGTCCTCCATCAACCCAGGTGATGCACAGCGCAAGACACAGATGTGTGTGCAGCTAAATTGGGGTCTTATTGTCCATTTCCTCCTGTCCTCATGAAACCAAAAGGAATCCTTCTCAGGAGGAATCAAGTTTGGGCTGGGCTTCACACTCTTGAAAATCTCATTGGTATTCCTAAATTCAAAACTAAAGTCCTCAAGATAGGATCGTAGTTCACACAATCCCCTATCCAAGTTAAAGGACAGTATTCACGCCATGCAAGGGACCTCTGCACACTCTTCACCAATACACTTTAAAGTGAATGTACTGTACTTCCAGACAACTCCCTCTCAATAGCTCCAGATGTTTTCCACAGTATTTTACCACATGTAAAGTGGAAATAAGAACACAGCAAATGTAAAGTTTCCTGAACATGAGGAGACCTTTCTCTATATCTCCCACTAGAATGACTGTTACTGCTTTTCCTGAGGTTGATGATCTTTACACCTTTGACAAAAGCATTCACTTCATCATACATTAAAATAAGTAGCTAAAATTGATCAGAGAATTACTGTCTGGAAGTGCCCATTTTTCCACTGGCTACAGCACAAAACTTTGGTGACTAATTCATATTCATGTCTATTTTTTGGATAGTTACATTTAGATGAGATGGATCCCATCCACAGTGGCCCTTAGGCAGAAGTAGTGAACCATGAAGACATTGTGTGACTTCAGCTGCAATTAATAAAAGAGGCTGGATTAGAAAAACAGTCTGCTCAACTGCTAGTAAAATTGGCAAATCCCAAAAATCTATGCCCTGCCATTTAACTAGGTTGCACACAACTAGCTTCTTTCCTAAACAAAGTTAAGATTGAGAGCAATAGTACCTCTCATATCATTAGGAATCAGAACAATTTTCAAAACACTGGCACAAAAAGAAATCTACATCGGCACCCTCCTTTCTAAAATAGCACAGCAGGGACAAGGATTAGGGCAGGAAAGAAGCAAAATCTTCAAAATCCAGATGTTAAAAACCACTGGAGAAGTCAGAACTGTGATAAATTCCTCTGTGATTTTCTGCTTTATCTCCTCAAATGAGGTAGACTTCTAAACTGAAAACATGTAGGGGAAAAATAGAACTGAGACTTCATACAAATCTTCATTTCCTGAAGTGTTATCTCGTAACAATTCTGTGAAATCAGCATTCACCAAAACAAACATGAGCTTCAGAGCCAGCTCCAGGCTGGCTGGATGGCTACCAGGCAGGATCAAGTCTCTACCCCTGATGTCTAATAGATCTTGAACTACAAAAAAAAAAAAAAAAAAAAAAAAAGAAAGAAAAAAAAAATCCCTTCTCACCTGGGATCCATCTTGACTCTTTCCCTGTCTCACAGCATGACTGAAGCTCTCAAGACTCCACTGAATAAATAAACAGTGGTTTTTTTATGTCTCCTCCAACCATCTGTGCTCTAGAGAGCTCAAGCAAAAACTCCAAGGAAAGCTCTTCTTTGGTATTGCTGAAATTGGGTCTATGTGATGTGGCACATCTAGAAGACAAGATATGAAGGGATGTACCAGAAGGGATGCATAGAGTTTGAATCTGTGAATAACTCTAGAGTTTGCTATATGTCCAGATTCCCACCACACCAAATCCATACTGATAAAACTTCAGAATTCAGCATCATTTCTTATGTTCTCTACCTCAAATTGCACAGAGAAAAACACTCCAAGCATTCAGCAGTTATATCTATGTCACTGCAAAATCCAGCCACTATTTTGTTACTTCATCTAGTGGTTTCAGAGCTGATGATTTCTGCAGACAGAGCCCCATCACTTTAGAATTGCTTAGCAGCAAAATAGAACTATCCTATAAAGATATTTCTGTCATTATTTATTTTTTCCACCACAGCAAGAAATGTCACCCAAGTTCAGATTCTGAAAACTTCTAAACAAACACAAAAATAACGGTAGCATATAGCACTTCCCACATAAAATGCCTCCATTAGCATCTTTTCCTTAACATATTTTTAGGTTGGAGCCTCTGAAAATTCAACCTGTGCTGATCATCTACTATTACTCATCATAGTTTCATAACTTCAGAGAAGCAAACACCAACTCAAAAATCCTAACATCAAACTGCAATTAAGAATACAGAGCAAAACATAATCTTTTAAAAAATATCAAAATATAAATTTCATCTTGTCATGATCATCTTTTGAAGACTGGAACATTTGTTAGCATCACTGTTTTTTTATATTTATGAAGTCATGAAGAGTGGTTTATTTTTTCCTTTGTGTGATGAACACAGCACATTTTCTCTCTTTGAGCAAAAAGCCATGTCTGGATATCTTGTAGGCAAGAGAAAATCTTTGCCTGTGTCATGTGTAAGCCTCCTCCTGAAGTTTTATGTCTCTAGCTAATTTGTTTCACTTTCTATGTTGCTTTCTCTCTATTGACTCAGGAAAAAAAGAGAAAAGTGCTCAGCAGTTCTATGGTTAATAATATTTCAATTTAAGAAGTAATTGTCCACAAGCTCTTAATCCAAAACTCTGTAGGCTATTGACAAAATTCACTTTTGTCAGATTTAAAGTAGGATCTTAGTGCTCAAGGCCTTAGGTTTAATCTTGTCTGACTGACCCTGCATTTCTCATTTGGAGAAGTTAAAGTCTTGTTCCACAATCCACTGAAGCCAGTTGGAATCTCTCCACTGATTCCAAAGGGCTTTGGGGCTTGTTCCAAAGCAGTTGTGTGCTCAGGGTAATTATGGGATCACCAGTTAAATTATTATTTTTTTAATTCCTCCTTTTAAAATGCATCCTGTTCTGTCAATCTATTATTCTATTTGATTTCTCATCATTGTCAGTATTTTATCACATAATAAACTTGTGTCTTCAGTGATGTACTCTTAAATTAATAAAAAAGCAATTCTTTTCTTTACCACTTTTGAGTATTTCCTGAAATATTTTCTTACTCTGTGTCCCTTCTTGCTCTGTTCTCCCTTGTGTTCCATAAATTTTCTGACTCTTTCTCTCATTTTGCTCCTTGTCAGTGACTTCACCTAAAATAGCCAAATATTCTTTTTCTCTCACTGCTCTTTTGGTCACTTCATTGTTATTTGGCTGTAAAAAGGGAGGGTAAAGTGGATACTTTCCTAATTAGGTCTATTTACATTGTTAGCCTGGTCTGAAGGGACCTTTTATATATGTGAATTAGACCTTAGGATGCAGCTCTCCAGGATTGCGTTGGATAGAATGAAATGGTCATAGGAAAACTTTCAGAAAGGTTCCACCAACTTTGATTCTGAAAACGGTGGTCTGAGAATGGGTTTTGATCAGATCAAAAGAATTTTCCCAACCTTGTTGCATCAGTAAATACTTCTAATTTAACCAGTCCTGTGTAGAGCGTCAGTTAGGGTTCAGTTGAGAAGAAAGAAAAGGAAAAGGAAAGGAAAAGGAAAGGAAAAGGAAAGGAAAAGGAAAGGAAAAGGAAAGGAAAAGGAAAGGAAAAGGAAAGGAAAAGGAA